CTGGGGGGTAGGGGAGGCCAGGGGATGGTCAAGAGCGGGAGAAAAAAAGGAGACATATGGAATACTCTTTGTAATACTTTAAGTAATAAACAATAATAAAAAAAATTACATTTTAGATCACACGCCACTGATGGAGTAAAACTACCAGGCAAAGAGGATTCCTCCTGCTTCTCACAGGTGCTCCAAGGTGGGCAGTGGAGGGGTGTGTTCAGGTAGGTGGGGGTGGGAGCCTCAGCTCTAATCCTGTGATCAATCAGTATCAGCTCTCCCCCCTCCAGGCTGGTCTCAGGGGCCACCGCTCCTAGTGGGCACCTCTGACCCCACCCTCGCCCACTCCTTAACAAGAGGTCATCTTATTTATCCTCAGGAATCCACCAGCTCCAGCCTCCCTCAGGGACCTGAGAGACTGCTCAGGACCTGCAGGCTTCTGATCTGTCCTCTCCTCCTATGCTACAACAGGAACAAGTTTTATCTTCCCCTGGGGGATGATTTGGTTGCCTAGAAAATGCAGTGTTGAATTGGGTGGTTCGAGGGGGTGTTTTTTCCTTTTCTTGACTAACTCATTGAGGGGAAAAATAAACCTGGGTTTAGATGGAGTGATCCCAGAGCACTGCATCTGTGTATCTGTGGGCTAGGATGTGAGAGGGTGTGGGAAATAACAAAGCGGGCCTCTGCAGGGGTATCTGATATCATCAGAAGAAGTTCCTGCCTGACAGTCACACCTGGTACATTGGTATTTATCATTGCGAGCACAGGTCAGGGACCCCGCACAGCTGACGCGGGTGGCAGTTCTCTGGAGGGGAAAGTTTTCACCAGGAACTAGCAGGGTCGAGGTACGGGGGACAAGAAATTCCCACCTCCCGTGGGCTGTCCTGGCCTCATTGGAGACATTGCATGAGTTGCAGAGGATGGGAGGCAGGGAGCGGCCTGAGGAGAGAGCCAGGAAGGAGGCCCTCCCACAGACTCCTGATTGAGGGGACTCCCCTTGGCCCCTCTTGGGGGCTCAGGGACACTCATCAATCCCCTTTGAGGTTCTTGATTCTTGTGGAGCTTAACTCAGCTTGGAGGCGCCTCCCTCCATTCTAGATCATAAGCAGGAACCAGCTAGAGAGGAGGAAGATGACTACCTGGGCAGATCTCATCAGCTTCTGAGGTCATGGTGTCAGCAGTGGGATCTCAGAGTTTCCCCTTCAGCTCACCAGCCTGTGTCCAGCTGGAAGGAGGTGTTGCTTCACCCTTCGGGAAGAGAGAACAAGTTGTGGGGTTGAAGGTGAGCCAGCGAGGGGCTCCGTCTCTGATGTTTCTTTCAGGGAAGGAAGGCTGCAAGTGCCAAGATGGACTCAATCCACTGTGTTTCCCTGTCTGGTGGGCTCTGCCAGCTGCTAGTTAAGAGAAGGTACTCACCTCACTCCAGCCCACTCCAAGCCAAGTGACAGTCCCCTTGTCCTGTGGAGGCAGAAGGAGAAAACCATCAGACAAGGAAACAGACAGCCAAGGAGTCATAAACCAAGAAGCAATAAATCCAGGAAGCAATAAAATATGAAAGATGGGAAGGAAAGATGGGAGGAATGTTTTGGAAATGACTTGAGGTTGGGGACATTTGTATTGAATATTCACTACAGCTAATATTGATGGTGTGTCTACCACAGGCTCCTTACGAGTTTCCCCAACAAATACTCTCACACATTTCACGGGGTGGGCTTCTCTCACACATTTCACGTGGTGGGCGCCATGATGGCTCCCACTGGGGCGTGGAGGAAACCATGACAAAGTCTAGGTTTTCACCTGAACTCGGGTTAGCCCAAGTCTCACAGTAGTGCTAGGGCTAGGACTCCAGCCCAAGTCTTCCTGATCCCAATCCTGTGTTTGTGAGGACTAAGCTCGACTCTCTTTTATATGCAAAATCGTTTATTAATGTGTCTGTGCTACTTGCAAACGACTCTTCTCATTCCCAAATGATGTCTTGCACCCTATGCCAAGTCTCTGTGTTGATCAATTCCTGGGGCTGTAGCTTCCCAAGCCTGCACTCCTCTTCCTTCTTCAATACCCTCATTCCCTAAGGCCCTGGGGTCCTGCAGCCCTGACCCAGCCCTGCAGCCCTGCTGTGGGCTGCACAGCCCTCCTGATGATGCCCGGTCCTCTCTGCTGCCCATGATCACCGGTGGACCTTAGCTTGTTTCTAGTTCTTTATGAAAATAGTGCAGAAACATTCTTCAGGCATAAAAGTTCATCTGCATTTGAGATTGCCTCACTTAAGGTATTTAATAAATAGAATGATTGGGACAGAGGGTTTCACCATATAAAAATTCTCTTAAGGCTAGAGCCACACTGTAATGAAAACAAATTGCACCAATTTGCATTTATGCTTACAGGAAATGATGTGTTCCTCTTTTCCATCTTCATAGTACTTTTTAAACACACACACAGTTTTTTTTTAATTATTTAATTATGCTAAAAAATGCACAACATATAATTTACCACTGTAACCATATTTAAGGGTACAGTTCAATAGTGTTAAATTATATTGACACTGTTGTGCAACCAGCCTCCATAGCTCTCTTCATCCTATAAAACAGAACTCAGTGCCCACTAAGCAATAACTCCCTCTCCCCCCTCCCAGCCCCTGGAAACTGCCTCTCTACTTCCCATCTCTACGGATTCACGGGCTTCATTTAAGTGGGATCACACAATGTTTATCGTCCTGAGACGGCTTTATTTCACTTAGCACAGTGTCCTCAAGGGTCATGCCTGTTGGAACAGGGGCCAGAATGCCCTTCCTTTTTAAGGCTGTAATTTTTTTAAAGGCTTTTTGGGAAAGTTTATTTGAGCCAAACTGCATGAGATCTAAAATGCTCTGGAGAATAACAGTGTCTCAGCATCTTCTCTGCATTTGAAATGAAGGAGGGCATGTAAGGAAGGTTACATGAAGTTGGGAGAAAGCAGGTGGGGATTGGATTTCAGGACAGTCAACAGGAGTGTGGTCTCTTCTTTAAAAAAAACAACACAAAAAAACAAAAAACAAAAACCCAGAAATGTTTATATTGACTTTACAGAGAGGAAGGGAGGGGCAGAGATTATAGAAACATTGATGAGAGGGAAGCATCCAGTGGCTGCTCCCTACATGCCCTCTGCTGGGTTTTGAGCCCACAGCCCGAGCTAGAGCCCTGACTACAAATCGAATTGGTGACCTTTTCATTCACGGGCCAACATTCAACCACTGAGCCACACTGGCCAGGCCAGATTGTGCTCTTGAGAGTGGTTATTTCAAAGGTGAGTTCACCTACAAGCACAGAAACAATGGACAGGGCTTGCTTAAGGAAAACAAACCTTTTACTAAGAAGCATATGCCTGGGATGTGACCCTCCAACCATGACCTACCCAGGTAGGAATTTATGATCGCATCACCCTGTAGGTTTCTTTGCATAGAACCCTTTTTTCATCCATGGTCCCCTTTTTGATCATAAGTCAATTTGAAGGATGCACGAATGGCCAACCATTTGGTTGGATAGTGTGGTCTCACAGCACTTGGAGGGCTCTTTCCTAGGAAATGTCAGTGTGCACCTTATATCAGTGATCATTGGGATGGGGCCATACTGTAATCATGGGCTCTGTGCTGAGGCCAAATTTTCTCAAAATGGGATGGGCAGGCAAAGGGAAGGAAGTGACGTCTTATGGCTGTCATTTTGAGAAAACACTCTGGCCCTGGCTAGACAATCGATGTTTCTCTGTCTGTCTCTCTCCATCTCAAATCAATAATAATAAACATACTCTGGATCATTTCTGTTCTATGAACTATCATGATGGAAACAGACCTTACCATGGAGAGGATTCTCTCAGTTCTGTCTGGACTATCTTGCCTTGGAGTCCAGGGAAGAAAGGAAATGCTGATTGTCTGTAGGCGTTATTTTAAGAAGCAAAACAGCATTTATCAGCTACCCTCCTGAGACCTGCCTGACACAGAGAGCCAGGGACGTGCTGGTGTATTAACAGCTGATACTAAGGTGGCTCACCTGTGTGTCTTTGCTCTGCCTCGGAATGCTCTAAGACTTTACAAATAATGACTCACATTCTTCTAGTAACCATTGAACTGTGTACCATCTGTATCTGTAAACACAGGGCCAGCTCTATTGTGTGCTGCCCCCTCCTGACCCCGGGCACCCTCTGTCCTCCTGGCACTGATGGCTCAAGCCTTGGTGTGTCCCATGGCGGGGACACAAAAGAACCAGCCACTCACCCGCACAGCAAACCCGTTTCACTCTCAACTGAGTCAAGCCATTTGGTTTTCTTGTTGATCTTGATGCAAAAACTGTGACACAGATTTCATACAAATTTCCCCCTGATTTAATGTACGTCTGGCAGTTCTATCAGCTTTCTGAAAGTTCCATTTATTTCCTCCTGTCTCCTTCCTGCAGCCATCACATTTTTATCGGAGGAGAAAGAGGAAGAGAGGAACGTGAAAAACTGATTCTCATGCCTGGCCTTGAGCAGGACATCCCAAAGCTGCCCCTCCCCCAGGTCTGGGGCTCAGGCCCAGCTCTGTCCAGCCCCTCCCACTCCTGCTCACTACCTGCTGCCAGGCTCTTTGCTTCCTGCACCAGAGGCTCCTTGAAGGCTGTAGGTACCATTACATCTGTCCTGCAGTAGGAAGAGGACACAGATGCAGATGAAGAAGAGAAGGAAGAAGAAACAAAAAGCTTCTACAGCCCTGGCTGGTATGGCTCAGTGGGTGTGGCATCAGCCTGTGCACTGAAGGGTGGAGGGTTTGATTCTCGGTCAAGGGCATGGACCTGGGTTGCAGGGTACATCCTCGAACCAGGTCAGGGCACAGGGCAGATATGGGAGGTAACAACTGATGCATCTCTCAAACATCAATGTTTGCCTCCCTCTCCCTCTTCCTCCCTCCCTCCCTTCCACTCTCTCTAAAAATCAATGGAGAAAAATATCCTCTGTTGAGGTTTTTAAAACAAACAAACAAACACAAAAGCTTCCTCCAAAATCAATCAATCCCACAGAAATCAATGTAAAACCAAAAGGAGAACTATACACTTGGGGGAAGAAATGTTAAAATTCATGTTGAGTTGCAGAAACATAGCTAATCAAGACACAAATCCCAGAAGCCATAAAGGGAAACTTTGATCAATTTGACTTCTTAACAAATAAAGCCTGCGGCTGGAGGCTGAGGAGGGATGTGGTGTGAATAAGGCAGCAGCTCCCAGGTGTGTCTCTGCTGGACAGACACAGGGATCTGGGCTCAGTCTCCTCCAGCTCAGACCCCCAGGACCACCTCCTACGTCTCCCATCCCCCACGGCTATGAGCGAGGCCGGCCAAGAGCAGGGAGGCAGAGCCCGCCCACCTCCTGCTCAGGGTCTCAATGTGTCACCCAGGCCAGTCATTCCCCTCTCAGGGCCTCAGTTTCCCACAAGGCCCGGCACTAAGCGGAAAGGGTGTGTGAAACAAGGTCACGATTTGAAATCTGAAAGGAAACCCTTTGTCCCATCAGCCTCAGCAGCAGCCTCTGAAGGCAGCTTCCGGGCATCCAGGCCACAAGCAACAAAGGCTCTTACTCACCTACCGTCCCCACCTCCTGTGCCTCCTCCACATCCCCCCACATCCCCCTTACTTTGGGGTCACTGACTCATGTCTCAGGGAGTCCAGGTCTGAGCTGAAAGGTGGATGTGAACCCACCTGAGCAGTGTCCCCCTTCCTCTCCACTGTTTAGGGGCACTGGGGTAGGGAGGAACGTCAGACAAAACTAGGTTCCAATCCGGGTTCTGTCACTGCTACATGTGCCTTGGGCCCATTACCACCACCCTTCCCCCGCCCCCAGCTTCGGTTTCCCTCATCTATACAATAGTGACAAGATCCTTGTCTTAGAAAGTGTGAGGATGGGGAGACTGGAGGCGCTCCTACCCTCCCAACTTACCAAGATTCTCCCTCTGGAAGATTTAAAACAAAACCCACTTGCTCTTAGCTGTGCACATCCCCTCGGCAGCTGTGTCTGCACAAACACTTTCTGGGTCTAAGATACTTGGAAAGGAAAACTGAAAGCACAGGCTCAAGTTCTGAGAAACTCAGGGTCAACCACATTACCCAAACTGCACCGCTCCAGGTGAGCCCCGCCCTGCCTGCTGACGCCTTAGGCCAGTGGTTCTCAACCTTGGCTGCACATTAGAATCACCTGGGAATCTTTTTGAAATCCCGATTTCCGGGCCTCATG